TTTTTTTTGTTTTTCGATTTAGATGTCCTTGTGCGTAGCTTGCCCGCATCCAACATGGAAGATTACATACCAAGCGGTCGCTTGTTGCAAAAGGTTTCGGAAGTGGACATTGTGTATGCGTAGGTAAGTGAATTCGTTGTCTGGGTTGAACAAGGCTATTATCGCAGTTACAATGCTACCTCAATCTAATTGAAGGACTTCCTTACAGGACAATATAGATCTTCTCGACAAAGTGAAACGCCATTCATTATTTACACTGTGATAAAAATTGTAGCAGTTTTTCAATTGCTACGTCAATAGCGACGTCACTTGATCCGGGGTTCGGGGAACTAAAGTCTTAACATCCGGGTATTTATTACGCTCATTCACTATGGCGTCGTATAAAGTCTTGTACGTGGCGCATACAACATCCACTGCTCGCTTGTGAACTGTGTCCCTGCAAGACAACAAACAAACATTAACGCGGCAGGATGCGGATTACTAGCGCGATTTTGCAAAGAATCTTTGGAAAAAACATACTTTTATTTAACAGGGTTGATAATATTGGACTGATTTTGTATGACACGACTGATTATGACGCGAAGATGACAAACAGTGATGGACAAAGAAAAATTCACTACATGTAGATAGCAAAAAGAGGTTTGCGGTTTGCGAAAACAGAGAAAAATATTCCACGTAAGATGGCAACATTTTCCCGGCTGATGGGCGTGCCAGAAATAATCCTGCACCATAGTGGTAGTTACTTTGAGTATTGTTCCAAATCAGTGAAATTAACCTTGACTTTCACTCTCTTGAAAAGGCTCTCGTATTTGGACGGGCTCTACAGAGGCTCGTCCAGCGGTTTCTGTGGAATATTTACAGTTCTTTTTGACAAATGCTATCTTGCATAATGGTAGAGGCCAGCGAAAAGGAGCCATAGCCTTACTTTGTTCTGAAGCCATCCCGAAGTGACGATAAATTACATGAATTACACATACATAGTCAAACCACAGAACGTAAGGCGCGCACTTAAACAAGATGGCGCCCGGTGATGTTGTGATAGGGGAAAAAAGCAAAGTATTTGAAAACTTACCGTAACCGCGTCGTTCTCAGGAGATTACACTGAGGCATGATGAGACTGTCTGGAGAGGAGAGGTATTTGTCAAATTTGGCCTGTGATAAAAAGAAAACGATACGTTTAATAATGAGAAAACTTGAAACATATACGGTTGGAGTAAACTGTCAAGTGAACCTTGAGAATCCAAAATGGCGACTCTGAGAGAAAATCAAAATGGGTGCCACTACAAACTAGCCCTTTTCAAACCCTAGATTGTTATCTCCTTTTGTTCACAGCACACTTATGAGTTAGGACTATACCACTGAACCTCCAGTAAGCGGACCGGACCCTGTGACACCTCTCGTGTGTCACTCAGGACAAGGGTCCGCTTATGGTTTGTTAAAAAGTTGTGTTTTGTCAACGACTGGCGTACAAAAACGTGAAGTGCCCACTCACAAGGACAGGGCGGATCCCTCGTCAGTTCAAAACAAGTGCCTGTTTTGGAAGATCTTCGTAAGTTTTCGAAAGAAATTTCCATTCCTGTTCTGGTCATTAAGTCACGTCTCGTTAGCTTGCGACACCGATATCGAAATCTGCGGTATCAGAAAACTATTAGAGACGATATTACGAACGGAAACGGTTCATTTCTCCCCCACCTGCCTATCAACCCCGAGCCCCTTCCCCCACCCCTCCCCCTACATCCAACCTCCCCTGCCCTTCCACTAGCGAAAAAGGCGAGCACAACTATCCCTCACTCACCATCGCGTCCTTAACACTTTGTGAATCCATTCCGTGGAGCGACGACAACGCCACCTGAGGGACGATATATATGGGTTATTGACCAAGTTTGAGGTCAAGATGGCTGGATATTGGCCAAGTTCTTTTTTTGCGAGTTTATGGACCTCGACTCCGTCTCGGTCCATAAACTCGCAAAAAAAGAACGAGGCCAATATTCAGCCATCTCAACCAAACAAGCTTGGTCAATAAAGGATTTATTATATGGCTTTCGGGGAAATTTTTCTTGCGGGACACGGCGGGTGGTCACGAGCGGGCAAGATAGCTCCATCTTGCCCGCTCGAGTAGGCAATCACAGCGCAGGATTTGATTCATCTTGCCCGCTCACGGAGCTAACCATATAATAATAAGTTGTTAAAGTCACAAAGTTTTAAACTATTAAACCGTAAAGTTGGGAAAGTAACGACACCCCGAAAGTAGAGACCCAACCTCGTTCTTGACGTTTTACTCAGAAACATATTTATTTTATTGCGATGGTTCAACCCACAATTGGTATAAGTTTAAAACTAATAGAAGGTTACGACCCTTCTCTCCCCGCAGGGAAATTTGCGACCCTATAAAAGCTTCGGAGGGAAAAGACTGCTTAATCTGAAAGTTACAACAGTCGTTACATTCGGAACACAAAAGCAAAACCAAGGGAGATTTCAGAGTAGGGACCGTACGCACCTTCTGTCCGCGATTCTCTTGATACACTGTGTACAGACTGCCGACACCAGAGCGAGCCAGAATAAACGACGCTTGTTCGCTGATTAACGTATCCAGATGTGCTTCCGTCTGAAGGAAAAAAATGAAATAAAAAAAAAGAACACGAAATAAAATGAGGTATTTTTGGAGAGAACTTAGTTGTATGCTGCGTATTTTATTCCATGAAAGTTTCGCGGCAACAAATGTTCGTATTTCTGTGTTTTTCTTCAACTTAAAAGAGTTTCATGTCGCGAAAAGAGAAAGTCAGTTACCGTAGTAACGGAAGAAATGTCTCAGACATTCTCCAATTTCGTGAAAATTAAGTCCGGCGAAGTATCGCGGTGTTAGCTATATTTTTCGTAACTTAATACTCAATTCGTAAGTATTTCCGACTCTAGGGGAACCCCCGACCTTTCCTGCTAACTTGCAACCAGAGAAAACAACTGAATAAAGGCTATGAAAGGCTTAGAAACAGCGTACCCATGGAAAACAATCCTGCCTTGAAGTAATCTCAACTGTCCAATTAATCGTTAGTAACAACTTTCAATGGCGCAACTTTCTCGCCGCCATAAATTTCAGCAAATGTCCTCCATTTTTTTTACCTGTGCTGCCAGCATTTCGATGTGTTTATCCGTAAATTCGTAAACTGCTAAAGTACTCTGTATTTGATGAATGCAGTTGATCATGTAAGCAGCCATGTCTGACGCGTTCAAGTGGCTGGCTGACATGGAGCACATCTGGAGGAGTGGGTCGATAAGACAAGAGATGATCTGCAGACAAACAACGTACAAGATTGAGGTAGAGGTACTCTGATAGAGTGAATTTCAAGCATAATAAAAACAAACCCAATCACGTATTAGCAGTCACATGTTTTCCCGCGCTTATAGGCGGTTGCACGTTTCACCGGCGGAACAACTGACATGTTTTACCGCGCTCACGGCCAGTTACATGCTTTCTTCAATCAGTTAATCAAACTTTATTTAAAGAGGGTTACACTTAATAGTTATTTCGTCCAATAGTAACACGTTTTCTCAGAGTTAGAGTGTAATTACGCAAGTTAGGATTAAGGAGCTAATCAACCGGGAAAGATGTACCCTGTGAAAATAAACTGACCCCTTTGCATAAGGATTGTATTGCACTAAATAAAAACGTACACGTGAATAATCAGCTTGTCTGGCATCAAGTGGAATGACAGATGCATCGTGAGAAGTTAGCACGTCTTTGAGTAAACTCATGGTCTCTTTTAACGATTCCGTCGGACTGAGATCAGGAGGAGGGAGTTCAATCTAAATACATTTCATACAAAAATAATAATAATAATAATAAAATTAGCAAACCAAAATCAGTAATCTAAACCTACATAATTTTCCCGTGCTTGGCGCCGTTTACAAGTTTTCCCGTGATTGGCGCCGGTCACATCATTTTCCCGCGCTTGGCGCCGGTCACATGTTTTCCCACGCTGGCGCCGGTTACAAGTTTTCCAGTAATTCGCGCTGTTTACGTGTTTCCCCGCCCTTAGTGCCGGTTACATGTCTTCTCGTGTTTGGCGCCAGTTACATGTTTTCACGCGCTGGGCGCCGGTTACATGTTTTCCCGCGCTTGGCGCCGGTGACATGTTTTCCCGCGCTTGGCGCCGGTTACATGTTTTCCCGTGCTTGGCGCCGGTTATATGTTTTCCCGTGCTGGGCGCCGGTTACATGTTTTCCCGTGCTTGGCGCCGGTCACATGTTTTCCCGCGCTGGGCGCCGGTTGCAAGTTTTCCCGCATTTTCTCACCTTTTCTAACAGTTTGCTTGCATGGCAGTTCAGACTGTTAAAGAACATCTTGAGCGCCAGTGCGTTCATGTCGAGAATCGTGACTGTAACAGGGGCGTCCTCGTCAATAAGGCTCCTGAGGAAAATACAGAAATTTATAATCCAACTGCACTCCGTAGAGTACAAATAACGTGCGATATGGGCACAAATATCTGACGGTATTTGCACTTCAGGTCACAGAATAGTAGATTTCTTCTCGGTTCCCCTGAACGTGCGCAATGTAAGGTAAAGTTAAACGTTTAGTACTCGGGAAAGAAAAGCGTTGTGCTTATTATCAATGTACTTTTTTACACGCCATTTGAATTTGGTCTCGCCGTACGGGCTCACAAAATACTGCAATACTCGTAAAATTTACATGTATAAGCAATATTACACACTATACACCCTGCAAGACGGAGATTCACTCCTCTTTCTGCTCGGTGAGAGGCGATCCTGAGCAGAAAGAAAAGGGCATCTCTGCGGCCTCGCAGGTACACACTTTGACTAATATGTCTAAGATATATAATGGAACCTAGCACTAATGACACTCGCTTAATACGGACACAAGCATATTACAAACAGATTTGTGTCCAATTAAAAAGCTCAAATATTGTCTCTCACATAAGCCTTAATGAACACCGGTTAATATGGACAACGTGCACTTTTCTGCGTACGCTTTACAGACACTGTGCACTGCCGTACATTTTCATTTGTCACGATTATACGCTAATTAGTATAGGTAATCATACGCTTTCAGCTTTTTGAAAAACTCACTCGTGCAAATTAATTGCAAATTAATTCAAAATTGAACGAGAAAAACCGTATGACTACTTATGAATAGTATAAACATGAAAAAAGATCGCGTGGAGGAAATGCCGGAAGATCTTTCTTGAAGCCATTTTTTCTCATTCGAGAATACTTTTTTCGAAGTTTCCGCACTAAATTTTCGTCATCATTTTATGTGATATCATTGGCTTAGAAAATTTCCTATTTTCTTTCAGCCGAGCACAATCTAGAATTGCGATGTGTAATTTGCACTGGTGTTTACACTTCTTGCACTGGTGTTGCACTTAAACTACACTGCTCTCAGCCAATCAGAACCGAGTAATTTTTTCATGTATTATTACATAAGTTAGAGTTAAGGTACGAAACATCCTTCTCAGCCCTGATACCTTAAAACTGTATTTACACGTGAGAAAACAGTACTATTGTTGAAAGTCGCTTGCGAGCCGCTCCACCTTAATCATGTGCGTTGTTTATCCCCTTGTTTGTCTTATCGACCCACTCGACCAGTAATTTCAACCTCCCGTTGAAATGACTTAATTCTAAGAAGACTGCCAATCAAGTCAAGTCTTCCTAACACATCCTGTCAATGACCTTACCCTATCGTTGTGCCATAAAACTTGAGAATATTTGCCAAGCTGAATAGCATCACTGCACCAGGCTCGGATACAATGACCTGCTCCACTCGTACCTACAGTATTTGTGGATACAAAAGGTTGAGTGAGTATGCCAAAAATTGTAGCCAAAATGGCACAACAGGGATCGAGCAGGTAATGAAAAGCTGAGACAGCTCTTTAAAGTATCAAACAGTTCGTGTAAACAAGACGTTTCCACGGTTCGGATCGGATCGTGCCGGGCATGTTGTTTAGGGTATAAAGAACCAGTGCCCCACCCAAGGCCCTTTTTATTGGGCCTAAAGGTCAAAAGTTTGAAAAACGTCCACCCCCCATTTATTAAGCAAGAGAAGACACATCGTTGCTTCACCCACCAATCTCCCATCGCTTCCCCTTTAGGAGCACATCTGGAAAGGCATCCTCAACTAACTTAACAATGCACAATTTTAATTGACTTGAGGTTCACTCTGCTTCTGGGAATGGCTACACTAGGCAGCATCTGCTCCATAGATTCCTCATACATTTTATCTTACCAAGTTCTTAACCTCTCTAAAGGTTGTCAAGGCCAAATGGTTTCAATCTCATCTCACCTTGAATGGCCTGCACACTCCTTCTGTGATGTGACTAAGAATTTCTTGTTGTATCTGTTGGTCCGCTACGAAATAAAATGTAAGGTATGAGGTTATCAAGATTTACTTAATGACCAAGAGGGCCAAACAGGAAAGTGCTTGCAATTGGTTGCACATGTACATAGTGTAAATGTACATGTACATATTGAAAAAGTCTTGAATTGTTCACATTTACACTTCATTAATTGCTGATGTGCAAGGTGCTGAATGCCTTTCCTGGACTGGTTCATGTCAACCTGCACAATCCTACACACAACTAGTGGCACGTTTTCTATATAACATAGTGATGGTGGTGACATATGGTGTTATTTTGTATCATTATCATCATCATCATCATCATCATCATTATTATTTATTGATTTATTTTTTATTGCTAAACACATAATTACTTTCATTGCTTTACTCTACTTACAACACGACACAATACTTAACCTACTTACAATACCCTACATTATTGTTATTATCATAATAATAATAATAATAATTATTATTATTATTATTATTACTATTTATAATGCTTTTACTGTCTGACAAAAGTCACTTACAATACTTGGCATTACCTTACTTACAATACGCAATAATTACTTATTATGACTTACACATTACGTTACTTAAGGAGTTACAATACAATGTAATAACTTAATTATAGAAAAAAAAACCAACAAACAAACTTAAAAAAAAAGACCTCGCAACAAATTACTAAGGGAAATGCCTTAAATGGTGAGAAGGAAATTCCACTTCTGTTGAAATTCCCTTTCGCCATTCAATGTGGCAGCAATATATTTTTCTATCTCAATTTTATCCTGCACTAATGAGATTATTATTATTATTATAAATTATTATTATAAATTATTATTATTATTACTATTATTATTACTATTATTATTATTATTACTATTATTATTATTATTATTATTATTTTCTAGTTAACTTACTTGTTTATCTCCCAGAACCCCGCTTGTTCCAAGCTATGATTACGTGTGTTTATTCTGCTAACTAATCACCTTACATCAATTTAATGTTTGTTTTGTGGTGCATCAACTCGACCATTTCAAAATCTCACCTGCTTAACTGATGTACTTAACTGTAAGCAAAATTTATGCACTGAAATCTCTTGACAACTGATTGTTTAATATTAGCCTGTGAACAGTGATGACTTTCAGGTAAATGCCATAAAACAAAGAGCAATAACACTGAATATGGAGTTACAGTTGAACCTTGCTATTTCAAACTCTCAGAGGAATCAAAAAATAGTTTGAATTAGTGGGAGTTCAAATACAACAGTAACTGACTAAAGGACAAATCCAAGGAAAATGGTTTTGAGTTTGAAATAACGGGATTTGAAGTAACCGAGTTTCAATGAGCAGGATCCAACTGTATGTGTTTCAAACCTATCAAGGTTCTCTATATCACATTAATGACTTTAGAAAGACAACAAAGTGTTTGACGTACATGATGAAGAATTTCTAAGCAGACTATGAAGGAGCTCCTTCTCTGATGCTATTGCCTGGTGAAGCCATGCCAACATGTCACCAATATACCTTAAACGAACAAAGGCAACATTATGACTTGACAGAGTAATATCAATAACTACATGTAATTAACGGTTAGTGCGCTCATGGTTATTGCACTCGTCTCCGGATCAAGCGGTCCAGGTTCGAGCCCTTGCCGGGGACACTGTGTTGTGTTCTTGGGCAAGACACTTACAGTGTAACTCTTACAGTGCCTCTCTCCACCCAGGAGTATACATGTAAATGGATACTGGCGAATTGTCGGGGAAACCTAACAAATTGTGGGGGTGTGACCTGTGATGGACTAGCATCCCATCCAGGGGGAGTAAGCTTCATCCTACAGAAACTGGGATAAGCTTCGGCAGCTATGAGCCAGTCAGCTCCAAGGCTACACTTTCTTTTCTTTGAAATCCACGTCCAGGACTTGAAAATTTAGAACTTAGTAGTAAAGGTGAGATCAAAATTAGCAATATAAGGATATGAATAAGGCATTGACAGACAATAGTTTCATTCATTTGATAATGCATGTCCATGTAACCAGAGTATGTAAGTACTACTGAAAACCTTTCTTACCTAACGGGATCATGTGAATGTAGTTCAATTGGTCTGGGAGTACCACCAGGACCTAAAGCAAACAAAAAAAAAAAACAGTATCAATGTGTTAACCTATACTTGTAAATCCAATTCAATTCTTCAGTTTTGATCATTTCAGACCAATTATTTTCCCGTCAGCTTCTGATCATTTCCTGTGTTCTCATAATTGCTCATTGGGTATTTTATAGACAAGACTGTAGAGATACCAGTGACTGATCATTTATTAATTGCTGGGGCTATACATACCTCCTCTTGTGAGTGCATCAATATAGCATCTTACAACAGCAGTTCTTCTCGCAGTACCATATTCATCTAAAGTATACCTACAATGCAGTAAGTAAGAGCTATCAGTGATGAAGGGATGCAGCTCATTTGCTTCTTATACGGATGTTTCATGTATAGTTAACAGACAGATTCCATGCTGCCGTGGGTCTGTTCAGTAACAGATCACAGATGAAGTCAAAATGTGGTAAGAACAAAAAAGTGGCACACAAGGCGATAGCCGAGTGCGTCACTGGTGTTCTATAATACATTTTGACATCATCTATGATTTATTTCAAAATGGAATCTGTCTGTTTTATGTAATTAAGAAACAAAAATGGTGTTAATGAAATCATCTACATGTACGTGTCTGTCTTCCAATAGGTCATACAAAATGCAAGAACACGCTAGGATAAGCTCCACCTCTGTGGGCCACTGGCTTTGGTCCAAATACAGTTTAGTCTAAAAGCAGAATTTCTGACATAAAATAAAATATTGTGAAAGGATAACTTGTTAATCAAAAAGTCCCAGTTTTATTGGCAGGTAAACAATACTTCAAAGAAAACATAAAATGCACATAACACTGCAAGAAGATGAATCAAGTATATGGAATGATGTAATTACATAAATATTGCACCACTTACTTGAAAAGCACAGGCCTATCCTGTAGAGCAGCCATTGCTCTGCAAAGCATGTTTGAAATATCAGGGAGATCACCCGTTAAACTTCTACATTCATCTAAAACCAGCAAAAAGAAATGTTTCTTAAATGTTAGTCTAGGTTAAGTGCACCATACTGTAGATCAAAAGAAACTTCAGGGAACTTTGTCATGGCAGGCTTTTATTTGTAGGATTGGTTAACATGTACAAACAACAAACTTGAGTGCATCATCCTTGACTGTCAAGTAACTATTTTAGTAAATGAGGGACAACTGACAAGATAGTGCAATGTTATGCAACTTTTTGCTTATGTCTTTGACATTCGTTTTTTCATTACCTCCATTCAAGTTTTTGGCTTAGCTTGTAACAACAGTAATTAGTCTAGCGGAGCAAGTCCTCTTGAGCCAGCCCTTGAAGCTTCACTACAGAGAACTCCACAAGAAATTGATTGTTTTCTTGCAAGCTAACTGGTTGAAATCTATTCCAAAATATATGCTTCACTAGTTCTTGACAGATGAGACTCTTGTAGACCTATCAACACCAGATTCTTGTCTTGAGAGACGTGAGACCAGAGAACTATGGTACTAGCTTCCTTTACTGTATTATTCTATAGCTTTGCATACATATTATTCTATAGCTTTGCATACCTTGACTCCATCTGTATAGCTTCTCATAGCTGGACTCAAGGTGTAAAGCCATTGCTTCCATTATCTGCAAGCTAGAGACAAATTTTAACATTAAACTCTTAAGGCTGGTTTTCACTGGTAATGGAGTCAGAGTCGGAGTTGGAGTCATAGTTGGAGTCATAAGAGCGCTCATAACCTAGTGAAAATCAAAAATCAGAGTCGTAAGCAGAGTCATAAGCTCGACAGAATCAGAGTCAGAAGAATCAGAACGTTTCCATTTCTTGCGACATTGTCGGAGTCGGAAGCAGAAACAGAAGAACCAACCAATCACAAGGCCCGGAAACGAACAATGTGATTGGTGTATCCTTCCGCTTCTGCTTCAGACTCCGACAATCTAGTTTTCACTGGATCGTAAGCGTCAGAGTCGCAGACAAATGCGGTGTTCTGCTTCCAACTCCGTCAGTTTGATTTTCACTAGATTGTATCACTCTACGCTTCTGATTATGACTCCGACTACGACTTCGTCACTGGTGAAAACCACCCTTTAGAACTTTTCCCAGCTTTAGAAATCTGGAAATCTGGGTCAGCAACTAATTTTGACAGGACTGACTACTTGTGCTAAGCTACATGCAGTGACTTGAAGAGCTGCAGCACCAAAAATTCTACAACATTAAAGTCATTTCTTTTCTCAAGAAAGGATTGAGATTTGCACAAGCAAGTGCTAATTTCCATCTCAGGGGTACCTCATTAAAAATAAAATGAAGGAAATGGAGTTACTGATCTCCAAAAGGGACAAAAAACACTTGAAGTAAATACAAATATTTCTATTTAAGATGCACAGCTGATGTAATAGACTACAAACTCTGGAAAAATAATTTGAACGTTGACAATAGGGCTTGCATTAAGCAACCTTGTGGCCTTTTTTATTTCCAGTTATATTGCTCATGCCCTAAAAATATGTTTAACCAACAGTCACAATGAATTACCTTTCTCATGGACTGCAAGCACTGATGATAAAACCCATGAGAGGTCAATGATCATTTAAGGATAATTATTGAAGAGTAGATATTCCTAATCATTAACGTGAGGACATATCCATCAAAAGCACAGTTACCCTGCAGTCTGTTGTTTTGTCCTCAACAAAAGTTTACAGTCATTGTGAATTTCCTTAACTCTTCCAAGTGCTTCAAAAAAAGTCTGCAAAAGAACAAAAGTAGCATCAGCAAGCCTGCAAATAACAGTCCGTCATCAGACAATTGTCCGGCAAATTTGAGGTTTTGACAGGTAAAAGCTTAGCCTGGTTGGACACTCTGACCGGGCATTTCTGCTAAAATAAAAAAAATATTTTAACTGGAAATTTGTGGCCGAATATGGGACAAGTTATTTTGTTATACTGCCACACAATACTACGCNTTCATGGTTACTGGGAATAAAAATTGAAATATTATGAAATAATAAGGGGTTGGGTGCACAGGGCATTGAATCAAAACTTCCAATGAAAAGGGTAAGTTCGCCCATAACAAGATATTTCCTGGAACCACACATTGTCAGTCTAAGCAAAAATAGGAAGAGAAGATATTTCAACTTTAGTATTTACCTCTGAAATTGGACCATTCCTGGTCCCTTTAAGAGCTTGCACCTCATCTGGTTTTAACTGAAACCTTGAAATAAATGCATCTGCTACTGTTTCTTTCATCTGTATCCTTTGGCTAATAAGAGAAGAAAGGGAGAAAAAAAATGCTTTATCTTGTGGAGGGCTAAAAAAAAAAACTTGAATTCTAGCTTGCCTTTTGGCCAAACAGCTCTATAAATATGCTTGCCCCAGACAATTCTTGTTTTACTTTTTTTCTTATTTAGTTGGTAGATGACTTGGCTGGGCCCTTGCCCCTCAGGCAAGTAAGAATGAAAAATTGCTCACCCAGCAGGAACATCTACTTGTCCTGGATGACTAGATGCCCCTTTTTTCAAGCCCTGTTGTGTCATTAGTGTAACTGGATATAATAAGATTTTTTTTTTTCAATTTCACATATCAACATGAAAGTAAATCACAAATTTCATTAACATAGGATTTTCACAGTAAGGCCAACTCAGTGTTGAAGGTTCCACGCGATTTGAAATGTGCTCATTTTGTTTTTCAGGGTCCAATCAGTGCAATTACACATTTAATCAATACTGTTACATGAATGTAAATTGAACTCCAGAGGGAAACAAAAATAGCTCGAGAAAGGATTCAAGAAACATGTACATGTGTGTACATGTATGTAGTAGTAAATGACTGAAAGAGCATACAGTATTATAAGGGAGAATGATTTGAGTTCAAGATACATGTGGTGGGAAATTTGACAAAACTGCTTTTCGATATACATGTAGTGTGGTTCAACTGTACTTATTTAAAGTACACTGCACAGTACTCTCAAGGCCATCTATTCATTCTAGGAAATTTCCATCAAAACAGCTTACTCCATCCGCCTTTCAAACCACTTGAATGAAAAAATGTGGCTAAATGCATGTATGTAGAGGTAACAGGTAAACTCTACATTGGACCAAAGTGCCTCACAGGCACTGGAGCTTATACTTGTAGCATAATTTAAGCAACTTAGAGTATTTTCACTCGGAGTGGAAAGAGACACTGTGAGATTAATTCTTGCTCAAAAATGCAATGTAGTGACCCAAGCTATGACTCAATCCTGGACTGCTTGATCTGGAGTCCAATACAAAAACACAGGGAAAAAATAATATTTTAATGACTTTATCTGGAATTACCTTTCACCTTGAAGTTTCGTTGTTTTGCTAATCAGATCTGAGGTTTGATCTCTTGCAGACTAAAACAAATGAGAGCCACCAGCCCATTACAAATAATACAGAGAAAATTATCTTCATACTAGAGGTTCGTTGTAGGTTTTCCATGGAGCCTAACCTTCAAAGCAGTCAGCACTTTCTTAACAGAGAGATAAATACATAGATATGCTTCAAAAAATATTTATTTGTAGCAGAGTATTATGTCATATTGGTAAAGATAAAAACTTGTTTCCTGTAGCAGCTGATGCACCTTTTTATCTAACAAATAAAAAAGGTTGACTTTTGTTTGTTTGGTATAAAGTATCCAAGGTCCAAAGCATGAAAGAAGTGTAGAGTGAAATTGGAAACACAGGTTCATCCCTACGTCTTGACTGTTCCCCACTTCCTAGCTTGCTTTATAACAAAACACAAGATGGTCAAGCTCTTTTTTATTTGTTACATGTAATACTACATTGTAAAAGCTTTTCATTTTTCCAAGAAATTGGCTTCAAATGATTTTTACTCTTAAGTTGTGTGCATAGTATGGTGTCAAGGATCACATGACTGTATCGACACCTTGTTTTGTTTTACAAATTCTCTTCAAAGGCCATCTGAATTTCTTCATTAAAAATACATACTGTTATTAGTAGTTTAATAATGGGCATAACTCTAATTTACAATTTTCATTTTTCTTGATTAGGTGATGTGTAATTTAGAATTTAAGTCTTTTTTCCAAAAACACAACACTTCAAGAGACAAAATATGTAACCACATTTAATCAGCAGGTAGTTACTACTAGGCTAAGGCTAGACTGCAAAACAGTCGTATTTTTTGCAAATGCGAGCGACGGTCAATATTCGAACGAAAGGTCTGGAGCGAGTGTAAAAACGGCGAGGGAGAATGGGGAGAGACGCTAAAAAATACAACTGTCTGCCATGCATATGTTAAATTCATTCAGAATTTCTCATTCTTCCAGCAACGGGAAATTCCCATTGGTTTAATTCTGACACAACCTGTCATCAAATGTCACTCACACCTCATCAAAAAGATATAGACGCCGTATCAGTTTCACAGTAAAGACAGGAATTCTTGTGGGAAAACAGACAACATCGAGTTGGATGCGTTTGTGAGCAATTTAGCAGCGATCCACTCATAAAAATTATCATTTTACTTTCAGTATGAACGGCTAGCTCACTAAATACTTTGGCAATATTCCTTGAAATTTATTACTGAAGACGGGCAGGTCGGGTTTCTCAATGGCCATTCGCATGCATGAATGATCCCGAGACACAAACAAATTATTTCTGTACGTATTTTTCTTGGGGATACGAACTGAACAAGACTTAAATGTCCTATAAACCTTATAATTTTGTAAGTATTGTTCAGTCTGAGAAAAATAGGAAAAATAGGTGCAGAAATAATTTGTTTGCGTGTAGATTTGCTTGCTCTCGGGGTCATTCATGCATGTGAATGGCTATTGAAAACCCCGACAAACGAAGAAATAATGCCAATGTTTTTAGCGAGCTAGCTGTACATACCGAAAGTAAAATGAAAATTTTTACGAGTGGACCGTTGCAAGGTATCCCTTTTTCAGGTAAATATTGCACACAGTCGGCAATGAGACGTCCACCAAAACTTAGGTTTTGTCTAGATGCTTTTGCGGTGAAGGTCGCGTGCGATTGATAACCGCTGGAAGATGTGGGTGGAGCTGTCAAGCAATTTCTGTCACCTCAGCGACATTATAGGACCCCTGCTCTGAACGAATTCGTTGTACGAAAAGCCAACAGTGGATTTCACGCCCGTAGGGCCTGTGAGGCTCCCGCGCTTCACACGCGAGGATCGCGCTTACGGCACTTCGCACCTTCCAAAAATGTCCGAAAACGACTGTTTTGCAGTCTAGACTAAGGCAAGTTGATCTACTGTAAGTGTCCAATACATATACATGTACATACCTTGAGACGGCTTGTCATTTCAGTACAACATCTACTCATTTGTTCAATATCTGCATGCACAGCATCAAGTTGCTACAATATTAAAAAATTAAGAGATGTCACCTCAGAGTTGACAACACAACATGTGTAGATCTAAAGATCATAGTGTTCTCCTCCCTGGTACCATGTCAGAAGAGTACTGGAGATAATTTTGTGGAACAAGTTTCAATAAGAGTGGTAAAATTTTTTTAAAGGAATATAACTTCTGTTTCAATATCTCTATAGTCTCATTAAGACCATGACCATGTCCTTGTGCTTCCTTGATGGTGCACAGAGAACCTGAGTGATACAGGAGGGTTCCATCAACCATTCGAGGGAGCAGAATACTGTGTCGTGATCTTTAGCAGATTATTAACTAAGACACAGAAATGGTCGTAGGCCCAGTCATAGGCCAAAGCCTGTAAGTATATATATATGTGACATTTTATAGTCGCACAATGTTTCGTCCAAGTATTTATCAAGAAGGCATATCATAATTATGTGGCTGGTTTGGTAAGATCTGCTGTTTTTGTTTTCCTACACAACGCAACTGTGCTAGATCAAGTGAAACCCAGCTACATAAGTTTGAATCCCAAGGTAAGCTATATCAAGGGAATATTTTTCAAAAACCTTTGCACAAAACGTTCTACAAAAAATAAGCTTAACTTTGTATGCCAACAAACCATTAACAAAAACTTTCATTAACATTATCAACTTCCACCAGCTCACCTCTTTGACCTCCCTGAATGCGCTCTCAAAGCTTTCGTTAATAGCTAAGCTTCTTTTTTCAATGTCTCCGCGTAAATTTCTCCTGGAGCGCAAACTGTTGTCGACGAAAAACGTCGACAAGGCCTTCAGGGCTTCCACCATTTCCTACCAAATAACATCAGATTATTCCACATTATCGCAACTTTTCGCTCCACAGGAAACACATCTAGGTGTTAAAATGCTGTTACCTTGTCATTGTCCAGTCTGGTTTCTAAGATCTTGTTTAATTTCCTCGATAACGGGTTATTTGGTTGGGATTCGCTCCCTTCCGCCATCTTGGAAATATTCTACGTGGCTCAACTCAACTCGTCCCAGGGTCTTCCTAGAACACCCGCATAATCCTGGGTACTAGGCTCTGGGGCTGCAGTTATTTGCGAGAGCCTCGTGCTGAGGTCTATTGTGTTGGGCTGAAATTGAAAATAATTGGCTATTCAATCCCTCAAAATTTTTGCGCACTCAAACCTTGCGCAAAGTCAGTGATCAAGTATTAGTTTTCGTCGTTGATTACGGACACGCTGAAACGATCTTTTATGCGTTGCCTAGCGATGATTTTATATGCTGAGAAATGTTTTGTGTAAAATGACTGGTAACATAGCAACAAAATTGCGAGACAAACCGCACTCGTGAATTTTAGATCATCTCAGTTCACAACATTTAATTTCGCGTTGTCTCCCACTGTAAAGTATGCTCACTCCCCGCCCGAAAGAGTTTTTCTTATTGGATTAGCTTGGGGAATTAAATACTCTTGAGGATAGCGTACGAATAACAAGATCTTAAAATGATGGGATCAGCGTTACTAACAGAAACTCAGTGCTGGATCACTCATTCACTCGTCAGGATTTCATACTATAGTCCGCTGAAAGCAATGAAGTGGAAGTAAAGTTCATATCAGTTTATTTCAAATGCCTGTGTGGGGTGGTCCTTTAATTCTATCGGAACTTCTTCGTAGTTAGCGAGTGTTTGCTCGTTTGACAGCAAACTGCCATTGTTTATATAATCCGTAGAATTATTGTTGCATTTGATTGATACTTACTTATGAGCTATTGAAGGACAGACGCAAAAATGACGTCATTGCATATTTTTTTAATTCTTTATTGTAAAAAAAAAAATACCTAGGTATATTTCACGTTGCCGTGCGTCTGTTCAGTAATAGATCACAGAAGACGTCAAATGTGATAAAAAAGAATCAATGAAACACTCGCTTAACGGATTGTGTGCCACTCTTATGTTCTTACCGCATTTTGAGGTCAACCGTGATCTGTTAAAACAAAATTGAAAACGATTGTGCTGTGTTTATCATGGCAGAAATAATGACAAACACTCAATATGTACTCTTGCACACTGATATGAGATCATACAACATTTCAAAACTTGTTTTATCTACCTTGCGGCATTGCTGTTGCTTCTGGTGTGACAGTTTTCAATCAGGCTTCAGTTCTCATATTGCAACATTTTGGGGCCATGTCCCATTAATTTTAAAATCTCAAAGGTGCTAGCCATCTCCCTTGATAAATCCTGGATTCGCCCCTGGCTGAATGTATTATATCGTATTATTGTTAAAGGAGCTCAGTCACGTTATTTTGAATTATTTTACCCACGTACAAAATTAGCTTTAAATTGAAGGAAACCTGAAAATAGTAGCTTACTACTACTTTAGAAAACCCCAAAGAGATATTAGTAAACCATACAGGAACAAGATGCACAAGCCGTGACGCAGCTTTTTTAAACCCACCTAGTCACCTGCAAACAACAAAACTGTCTCAGTGTATCTTTTACTGCTTTTCTCATCTCTCTGATCTTCCAAAAGTACAGAATCGGGTTTAGAGATGAGTTCAACATAACCAGGGACAACGTTACCTCCCACGCGAAGTCACGTGACGGCGAGCGTAATCCAGTGATGGCGTACAAGGCTGCGACAACACAAAATGGAAGATAACACGCCACTAGTGTCATTTGCAGCCAAAGGGCTGCAGACACTGTCTTTCTGTATCGTGCAATATTGAGGAGACTTCCTCCGCCGTTGAATTTCCCTTGACGTTGAATATTGTCTTCCACTTGCGATTGATGTTGGCGAAGTGTGATGTAGATTTTCGTGTAAGAGAAGGTCGAGGTTATTAAACACAAAAACAGAACAATACATATAATCCCCACGGTAATAAAGTAACTGAAATTGAACATCATTGCTGTGATGCCATTGGAAAGCCAGAGAAAAATCATAAAGAACCGAGTTCGTTTGAGTGTGACGATCTGCCTGTACCTTAGTCCCAGCTGCAGAGCAAGAAGTCTATCCAAGCTGATAGTAGTCAGTGTTGTCAAAGAAACTCCACAAAAAAATCCGCTGGTGATACTTGTTAATATTGAAGCATAAGGACAAATGGTGGAGAGTCGAGGAGACATCAAATATGCGGTGTAGAGAGGTTCTAGAATGAAGCCAACGCAAAGGTCGCTGCTCGCAAGACAACGAAACAGTAGTTTCGATGGCGGATGGAATGAACACTCTTTGCGCAGTGCAATGAGGATAACGACATTCCACAGAAATGCAGTGAAGCAAAAACAAATGTTCAACACTGAAAGAAAAATGTGTAGCTGTACTCCAAATAATCCATTGGTACAAAACAATGCTTGAGTTGTGGTGTGATTGCTATCTACAGTTAGGTCCGGCATTTTTCCTTTTTTCCTTTTCTTAGTGATTATTGATCCCAGAAGAGAATGGAAACCTCTGCCGGGGACCAGAGACCACAAGTCTTTTTTCTTAAGTTCAAAGTTGGACAGGATTTCATTAATCTGGTCTACTTCTTCAGCTGTGGACATGCGGTCTTGATGCCTGTCCTGATGATAAGAAAGTACCTTTTTGTTATAGGAAGATAAACGATGCGTTTTTTCACGTTGTATTAGCGCTCACGAGTACACAACAATATCGCTATAACATATAATTTGACGCCATCCCATGGGTGTGGCATTTGCACTTTTCTCACAGCCTCACCATGTTGATTTTGTATGCGCCAGCTGTCCCACTGTGGGGCGTTTGCCACCTTCTGAAAACAAAATGTCAAATGCCCGCGGGGTGGGGGGAGGGGGAGGGGGCATGAACCGGCTTGGAATTGGCAGAGGCATAAATTGGAGCAATTTAAACAAACCAAATGGTAAAGTCTCAAGAAATACCTATTGCAAGTGTTGGCGATCTGAAATTGAAGTTTGAGTTTCGAAAAAAGTTTTAAAAAAAGCCATTCCAGGAAAATATTTGTCCAGTAAAAGTTAATAAACACTTTTTCAGGTCGGTATCGCGGACTGTAATCTATTTATCGCTAGTTCAACTTTCACTTGCAGATCGTTATCTGTAATTCCATCAAACTTAGTTTTCTATCCAACGCCACCAAAAGTATGGGAAGTATATGCGTGAACGATCTACACGGGTGGATCCAGGATTTTTCTTAGGAGGGGGTCCACCACTAAGGAATGGTGTAACTGACTGGTGAGGTAAACAGATTTTAAAAGTGAATACGAAAAAGAGGGCTTCATCTCTCGGGGAGGGGGAGGGGCGCAACCCCTGCACCCTCCCTCTAGATCCGCCCCTGATCTGCTCTGATCTTTGATTGCCATTATTCCTACTTCTAAACGAATTTTAAGTTCTACCTGTAGTTTAATCTTGAATATGATTGGTGGACTACACAGTTGAACGACATGTCAAAACAGAGTTAAAGCAATGATGTTATTATTGCTTTTCTGATTCTCACAGTAAGCGCTTCTAACTCAACTTAAATTAACGCAAACTCTTAGGCCTAGAGAGTTTAAAACAAAAGAAATTATTGCTGGCGACCACGAAATTCGTATTTCCTGCATTATGCAGGAAATTAAAGCGATTAATACAAAGAACTATTGCTTATGGTGGCATTGACCACGATCAAAAAAAGACGTAATAAAACGCAGAATCAGGTCTCTAAATAAGCGAGGCTACAACCGATGAGGTACTCATCAAAATTACGTCCGAGAACGTTGGAAACGAATAGCAAAAATTTCCTTTGAACGTTTGCTTAGTTGCACGAATTAACTTGAAATATGGGGCTGTTTTAGAACGCGTTTTTCACAAAGTTATTTGTAACACTGCGAAATCGCCTCTCACTTTTGTGGTTTTGGGCAAAGGTAATCTCTACAGATATAGTCACCAAGAAAAGGTTTGTATTGAAGACCCTTCAAACAAAAATAAACAAAAGTACATCAGTTTTACATATTACCTTGTCATTATTGTTGCTGTTTTGTTTCTGGGTCAAAAATTTTGCGTTTTGTTTCAATTCCCATCTACAGCTGTAAGGTCGATTGAAAAATCAGTAGATGATTTTGACGCGACTCATTCTTTTCAGTAATGGTCAAAGTTTTTTTTGTGTGTGTACTGTGGGTAAACTGCTCTCCGCAGGAATACTGAAACACAGTGGTTTCATTTCAAAGTCAAACTCCGGCAATTCATCTTTCGCATCAGTTTTCTTTTCTCCGTCGATATAAAAAACATTGATATTCAACATCTAAGGTTTGTGGTTTTTACCTGAAAAGACGGTTGGTCATCCAATCTTTAGTTCACGATTTGGCGTTAGCTGTGTCGCCCGACAACCGAGAAATAATTCCCAGCGAGTTTAATTAAACACTAACAGCTGCTGTTTATGTAGTATGTTGGTAGAGTTTTACAATAGGCGTGATCAATCTGTAGCTGTGTTTTTGCTGAGTGGCAATGTCAATCTAGAGCTGTTGATAAAAAAAAGACTATCATTATACTTCAAATCGTGAATACCACTTTGCGCAAAACAGCATGTTTTTTATCATAACATTAAGAACAAACTTCTATTCTCTACTTTTACTTATTAGAAACCTTTTTTATGATGCCCCACCCAAACGAGGTAGTGTTTTTTCCTTGTAAAACATATAAATCTACTTCGTTTAAGAAGGCTTAAAATTGAAGAGAAGACTTGTCTACGGCTCGTGTTTTCCTTAAACTCCCTTCAATTTTAATTCATAACGGCGACAATAATACGGTTACTGTTTCACATTATTACGTAATGTTTGTAACAATGACCATTAAAATCGTAATCTTTCCGTGTATTTGGTAAATTTAACGATTTCTAGGAACTTAAAACCAAGAGATTATCAAGATAAATACCTTTATAATCTTGTGCTTAAGCCTAAAAGTTTATTGCACTTTTTCGTTGAAAAAATTCTGGGGGGTGACTTCCTAGTTTGTTTTAAATGATGAACTTGGCAACATGCTGTTAAGTGTAAACAAAAAGACTGTATGCCTCATGAAAAAAAGAAAAAAAAGTTCTTGCTCTAGCACAGATTTTATGGAATATTTTCAGGCACGCCGTGCAAAATGATTTCTCCTTATAATTATTTGCTCGGTTTTAACAAGGTCTCGCTTCAGTTTCGGTCGGGTGAATTACAGACGGTGTTTACATCAGCGCACCGAATTTAAAAAATCAAACAAAACTGTAATTATTTCGGTGTGTTTCATTGGCCCAAACCTCGATATCCTCTACAGTTTGCTTACAAAGGATTTTTTATGAATATTTAATTTCCCTTTACAAAAAAAACTGAGAGGCACAGTGTGATTTTAAACATGGGTCCTTGAGAATCGTTGTTGTGAAAACTGTGTATTGATTAACTGATAAACAATTCAGAATTATCTGACGAAAATTTGCGAAGGAAAACTATGTTCCAACGCGGCAGGTGTTACCTTGGAAATCAATTAAAAATGTGACACGACTTCAGCAAATGAAATTACATTTGGTAGCCTTTTATAAATTCAATTCAACTCGAGAGAAGCTGGAAAATCTAAGCTTCAGAATTCAACCAACTGGTCTGTAAACGTTTTTAATTTTCTGTGCTGAGTGAAACTGCCAGACTAAACAATTCTTGCACTGAAAGCTACGATGTAACTACACTGCACCCCAGAAATTTAAGATCGTGCAAGGCTCGCATGCAAAGATGGAGATGATAGAGATTTACCTTGATGTAGCCGGTTGTGATTTTATGTATGACGTGACTTGCAACTCCCCAAGAAAGTAGCAGAAACAGACCGTGGCTTTTCAGTCATCCGCAAGCATTCGGTGATAATGGCTTCTTTTAATTTTAAAATCTGATTTTATCCTTACATTGTTTACTCTGTGTTTAATTAAATAGTATCTGAGATAAAATTAGGAATCTAATAAGAAAAAATTTTCATTTTTTTCTGTTTTTGCTTTAGGTGTTGTCAGTTTACACAAGATCATAGTGTAGTTAACCCAAACTTGCCCCTTATATTGTGCGTCACCTCAATCAGATAAGACAGGGGCGGATCTAGGGGGAGGGTGCAGGGGGTACGCACCCCCTCCCCCGAGATAAAGCCTTCTTCGTATTCCCTTTTAAAATTTGTTTACCTCACCAGTCAGTTACGCCATTCCATAGTGGTGCACACCCTCTTAAGAAAAATGAAGAATAGGTCATGTTTCGGATGGGATAAAAACTGCAGGCAACATGAAAAATGCAAAGTAATAATTTTGCTTTCTTTGGGACAGTTAATCGTGTTGTGCTCTTTCAGTATTCAGAACATTTTTTTTTTTTTTTGCAGCTCTATCAGAAACTGTATCGCGTATGCTAATGAGGCTATGCAGGCCCCCTATTGATATCAGCCAATGGCTGATGGGGCCACCCTGCCTGAATAAAGTTTGACTTGAATTGAATTGGAATATTGTAAACAAAGATTTTCCAATTGCGCTTATTCCTTTCTATATTATTGTGTTCCAAGTTACCATCACACATGGTGGCCGCGCCGGATAATACCAACACCACCCTATAGGGAAGCGCAGTGGTCTAAGTAATGGTTTGTTTGTGGACTCAAGGTTTAAGCTCTGGTCCTTCGTCACCTTGAGCGCAGGGAGCCCTCACATCCGTTTAAAATATGAATAAAAGATTAACCTACAGCTGTACCTTTATTGCGCGTGTTTTGTGTTTTGTGGCGCCCATTTTGAATTTTTCAATAAGCGGTCTGCTAGTGCGAGGTCTGGAACCGAAATTACGGAAGTCTGGGAAGGCCAGAAAAATTCGCAAAATCTCGGAGGATAATTTGGATTCCAGACCTCGCACTAGCAGACCGCGCGCGTATCAAAAATTTAAAATGGCCGCCATAAAACACAAAACACGCGCGACAAAGCTAAGTTAATCTTTTATTAATATTCTAAACGGATGTGAGGGCTCCCTGTGCTTGAGTTCTAGAACAAGCCTGATTCTCATCTCGCGCGCATATCCAGCCATGAGTATAAGTGAATGGTGACAAACTCGTCTCTAGAGTCCGCGCGTGTTACCCTGATTCTGGTTCACGTGTACGCGTGCATTCAAGTTTAATGATTGGCTTTTGAACATGCGAAAAGACAGAGTAGCCGCTGTAACCAATGCTGGCTCACCTTCTGATTTCTTCCAGAGGTCTCAGTTTCTTGGTGCTAACTTTGAGGGTCGCGGGCTCATGGAACGAGATTGGGGTAGTGATGAATTGCAACCTGCAATCTTCCACTGTGCAGTTATTATTATTTTCGACAGTAATTAACATTATTATACATTGTAGCCACCATCTGTCTTCTCGTTGGCTAAAAGCCTACAATTAATTTTGGGAAACAGCGCAACCTACAGATTATTCACTAATCTGCTAGCAGATTAGTGAATAATCCTTAGGTTGCGCGCGCAATGCATGATTTCCAAGAGCAATGTCAAGTTCACGTAAGAACATGGCTTGTCGAAAATAATCTGTGTTTGGTGCGATAATGCGTTTGTCGTTATTTTCTTTAAAACAATGTATAATAAAACAATTATGAGATTCGGTGGTTTTTGTGATATCCGAAATAATCAAGGTCTCGGTTAGCATTATCAGCCTCAGCCTTCGGCGTCGGCTGATAACACCGGCTTACCTCGACCTAGTTTATTCCGGATACCACAAAAACCTCATCCAATAATTGTTTAATATTGCATTGCAATATTGCGGATTTTTTTTGTTTTGGCTTCGCGCAGAACAAGAAGTGGACGGATGATAAAGACATCTAGTAGGGCTGTGTTTTGAGCGTAACTTCTCAAATATCATAAGTTACGTAAGTTCGTGTCAAAAAAATGCCATTTCTTTTTTATTTCCCGTGAACTGTGGAAGAACCAATTTATTTTCCGTGAAACGTGATCTTTACCNCCCCCCCCCTTCCCTTTACCTCTCCAAAGCTCAGTCAAAAGTGTCCATAGATCTTGAGGGAAAAAACGTATAAATGTAATTCATAGCTCCTATTAGCACTTTTACATAGTAAATGGTTGACTATGGCGGAAAATTTTGGTCACGCTGACCTGGATCTTACCTAGCACTGAATATGTACCAACAGCTAATCTTAGGTACCGTAATGCATGGAAAAAGATTCTAAAGCGCTGGAAACTTTAAAGCTATAAATTATTTGTACGTCTCGTGTTTGTGAGCATATATCCTATAGAACTGAAAAATTGAAAAACCCTTAATTAATAATAAATATTTTAAACGAGGTAAAAATTTTAAATCACGAATGATTATAGAAATACTTCCCCTCTATTGAAGTATAAAACAGTACTGTTCGAGGAGTTCACAACAGTACTGTTCACAACAAACTATACGAGGAGGGAATTGAATGCCTTTTCGATGAGGGAATCTATTTTAAAACAAGTAATACCAAACAGAAGATGTTTGCGCATGCAATGAATCTTTGAGTATTTTGTCTATATATGCTTCCAGAAAACGCTTTGTCGAAGTCCGAAGTGTGTAATGCAATCTAATGAGTCAATTAATTCTATATCTTGCACGCACGCAAACTTATAAATGTTTTAAGTTTTAAACGTTTCAACATTCACGAGAAACGATAAGAACGCAGCTAAATTGAGAACCGGCCTTTCAGTACAAAAATTTATTTATATAAGTCATTTTTAAGGTGGCGAATTTTCACGTACAACACCAGCGAGACTCTCAAACTTTCCCAAAAGTCAGTGAATCACACAAAACAAACATCTTTGAGAGTAGCGTTCGAAGTTCAAGAACTTGAAAACCAGTCAGTCTCAATCACTGTGGTAATTACCTTACGTATGCCTGGAGGAAACACGGAATGTTTTTGCTTTGTCTGTGACAGCAAGTCCTAGCCCAAGTAACCAATACAGTTGTTTTGCCGGTCATGCCTTTACAAAGGTATAATTAGTTTCTCATTAAGACTGAAGTCCTAAATAGGATCAGAAGCACTTTTATGTACGTGCTAATAGCGGTCGAATTGTTTCCCAAGCCACAGGAGTGTGAAAGAATAAAATAAAAGTTTTTCAAACAATGGCAGACGAACCAATCGGCTTTTCTTGTCTCATGACAATAAACCCAAAACCGAACTAAGCCATTAACTAAAACTGTGTGAATTTCTTCTCCATTGCCACTGGTGTAAAAACATTTAAGACGTCCGTTTTCCAGTGGTTTTTCTCTGTAAGAATTCAAACTCTTCCGTCAAGACGTATAGCTGAAAAAAGGTGAGGGAGAGAAATTTTTTTTTCGTTACATTGTATTGGGACTATTTCCCGTTTAAATTCAGTGAAGGCAGCTGGCGAGATTTTTGTAGACTATCGCAAACATGGGGTTAAAAAACAGCCAGATGTTTAGAGTCGGTACAGGCTAAAGAAGGTAAAAACCATGTGAAAATATAACTTACAAATCGACCTTAGTTTCATCTGTGCATGACTCCTTACTCGACGCATTTTTTTCACTTCAAGTTAACTGGAATAAGTAAAGTTGGTTTAAATTTTAATCAAAATCGTGCGAGCTTCAAATTGCAAGTCATCAGCTTCGGAGAACTCGATCTCGTTCTTTCCAGAATGCTTTACTCTCATCGATATTTTGTTTTTCAACTCGTTAGTAACTCATGTTTTAATAACAGCATCGGAAAACACGCACTGTCGAGCAAATACAATCCCTAAAGTATGTCACTCAAGAACACCTTGAAGTTCCTGTACATAACACTTCTGATTAACGATCATCTGGGGAATTATTTGTTGAGTACTTTTCTCCGTGACTGAAATTAAAGATCTACTGCTTTTGAACAAGAACAAAGTTGAATAATTTTGAATTATACGCAGCGAATCATGACAGAACAGTTTTTTTCCGACTGTTTTCTCGGTTGAATAACATTTGTCGGTATTATCAGTTTTTTATGACCGTCATTCTTTTCTACAGCGCAAGCTTATCCACTTAACTTCTCCCTTGTTCAATGTTCATTGAGGGACGGAACTGTTGCTATTCGGGTTTCAGGGCAGGTTGCGTTACTATACATTTACTATAATGGATCCAAGTGTAATCGCTTGGAAATGTGAGTGAGGGTTGAATTTTGTATTTCTAGTCTTCGATAACAACTTGCGAGGCGAAAGGTTTTGTCTTAGTTGGCTCGAGGGAATGCACTTAAAATGATTAATTTTTAACTATGTTTTACGAGGCCTATAACAATGTAAGTGACACTAATTATTCAATTCCTTTCAATTTATCCTCGAGCGAATCTGTCTCATTAATATCTTTTAATTACAGTTGCTTTAGCTTTAGTAATTATGCCTACTCTTTGTAGGCTTCACAATTATTTTGGGTCTGTATTTCTTCCCTTACGTTTCCCAAAAATTTATCATGGCGTGTTTCGCCGCCTTTGAGCGAAACAAACTTCACCAGTTTTTAAAGATTGTTTCCTTTTCACCTAAGCGCTCGATTTACGCTTTTTTGAGTTTTTCTTTTTCGTTCCGAGTTCCCAACTGTAAATGGAACATATTGTTCTCAAACTGATAAATTAAGACTGTTTTGTTCCGAGTTCCTTTCTGTGCATGGAACACAT